AACTTTTGAGTCGCAATTAATCTGGAGAGGACGTAAGCGTGACCAAAAGTCATTGTTGATTTATAGCGAATCTTAAAGTCATAAGCTAACAACATAATTGCCCATGTTTATCAAATATAAATCCAAGGTATTTAACAGATTGAAGGAAAAATTCACATTTATGTTTCTGCAGTTGGAAACCAGATTGTGATATTCGTGTAAGTACTTTATCCAAACGCGATAATAACTCATCTTTAGAGGAACCCACAACAATAATATCATCAAGATAAGCGGCAACACCATCAAGATTTGATATCATAATGTCCATTAACTGTTGGAAAATAGCAGGCGCTGGTTTTACACCAAAAGGTAGTCTGTTGTACTGGTAAAGTCCACGATGAGTATTTATTGTTAGATAAGGCTTAGAATCATCATCAACTTCTACTTGTAAATAGGCATCAGATAAATCCAGTTTTGCAAAATAACGTCCACCATTGAGTTTAATGAATAGATCTTCGGGCAATGACAATGGATATGAATGATTTTGCAGAGCATTATTTAATCCAGTAGAGAAATCAGCACATAGACGAACAGTACCGTTAGCTTTTTGAACGACAACAATCGGAGCTGCCCATGATGAGAAAGTAATAGGTTGTATAACCCCAAGCTTTTCTAATCGGTCAAGTTCTTTATCAACTCTATCGATAGAGGCGTAGGGTACCTGCCGTTTTGGACGAAAAAACTGGTGTAGCTCCTTGACGTAAATATAATTTGGCTTTACCAATATTGCAACATCCCAAAATATCTTGAAATACATTCGAATGCTTTTCAAAAAGATGAGCTGTAGTCAAGACGTTGTTGTTTTGATGTAACATTTAATACAGGTAGATTTTTAGGAATATGTGGATCTTTCAATGTACACACTGCGTCTAGTGGCACCTTCCAAAGATTTAATTTGTCAATCCAATCTTTGGAAGGTGCCACTAGACGCAGTGTGTACATTGAAAGATCCACATATTCCTAAAAATCTACCTGTATTAAATGTTACATCAAACAACAACGTCTTGACTACAGCTCATCTTTTTGAAAAGCATTCGAATGTATTTCAAGATATTTTGGGATGTTGCAATATTGGTAAAGCCAAATTATATTTACGTCAAGGAGCTACACCAGTTTTTTCGTCCAAAACGGCAGGTACCCTACGCCTCTATCGATAGAGTTGATAAAGAACTTGACCGATTAGAAAAGCTTGGGGTTATACAACCTATTACTTTCTCATCATGGGCAGCTCCGATTGTTGTCGTTCAAAAAGCTAACGGTACTGTTCGTCTATGTGCTGATTTCTCTACTGGATTAAATAATGCTCTGCAAAATCATTCATATCCATTGCCATTGCCCGAAGATCTATTCATTAAACTCAATGGTGGACGTTATTTTGCAAAACTGGATTTATCTGATGCCTATTTACAAGTAGAAGTTGATGATGATTCTAAGCCTTATCTAACAATAAATACTCATCGTGGACTTTACCAGTACAACAGACTACCTTTTGGTGTAAAACCAGCGCCTGCTATTTTCCAACAGTTAATGGACATTATGATATCAAATCTTGATGGTGTTGCCGCTTATCTTGATGATATTATTGTTGTGGGTTCCTCTAAAGATGAGTTATTATCGCGTTTGGATAAAGTACTTACACGAATATCACAATCTGGTTTCCAACTGCAGAAACATAAATGTGAATTTTTCCTTCAATCTGTTAAATACCTTGGATTTATATTTGATAAACATGGGCAATTATATTGTTAGCTTATGACTTTAAGATTCGCTATAAATCAACAATGACTTTTGGTCACGCTGACGTCCTCTCCAGATTAATTGCGACTCAAAAGTTTGAGAACGAAGATGTTATTATTGCTACAGTGTCACTGGAAGATGACATTCATCACATACTGCAAACTTCTATTCAGGCTACACCTTTGTCAGCAATGGACGTAAAATCTACAACTAGGACGGATGAAGAGCTTCAGACAATTATTCGCTATCTTTTGTGTGGTTGGCCCCCACACCTCAACGCAACAGAACGACAATATTTTCGTCGACGAGACGCCGTTGCTGTTGTTGATGATTGTCTTATGTTTGGTGACCGTGTAGTTATTCCCAAATCTTTGCGCCACAAAGTCCTGTCACAATTACATTCTGCACATCCAGGTGTCGTCCGAATGAAAGCATTGGCCCGCAGTTACGTATACTGGCCAAACATTGATACTGATGTTATGAATTATGTATTGAGATGTTCAAAATGTGCACAAGCTGCGAAAGCCCCTAGAAAAACCGAACTTTGCTGCTGGAAACCAGCGACACATCCATGGTCGAGAGTTCATGTAGACTTCGCTGGTCCCCTAAAGGGCAAACACTACTTAATTATCATCGATGCTTTTTCTAAGTGGCCGGAAGTACATTGTATGAGGTCTACATCAACCATGGCTACACTAGACAAACTGCGTCAAATATTCAGCTGTTTCGGAGTCCCAGAAGCACTTGTCTCCGATAATGGCCCACAATTCGTGTCTGCAGAATTCCAGAAGTTTTGTGCTCTTAACAGCATTAAGCATATCAGAACCCCTCCGTATCACCCACAATCAAATGGGCAAGTCGAGAGATTCGTCGACACTTTTAAGAGAGCGTTACTCAAAGCCCACGGGGAAGGAAGATTAGAAGAGATATTGTATAAGTTCCTGTTTGCTTATCGTTCAACACCGAATCGTGAGACGGTCGGTGAAGTGTCCCCTGCGGAAGCTATGCTTAGAAGAAAAATCAGAACGCCATTAGATAGTTTGAAGCCAAATTTTGCAATGACTATCGAACGTAATTCCAGAATGGAAATACAATACAACAAGAAGCATGGAGCGAAGCCCAGAAGATTCTTACCCGGACAAAAGGTTTGGGTACGTGATTTTCATCGTAAAACAATGGAGTGGGTGCCTGGAATTATCCTAAGGAACAGAGGAAGAGTTATCTATGAGGTCGGAGTAAGCAATATGAAATGGCTAAGACATGCTAACCACATCCGACCGTCCAGATGCGATGACGGGAATGAAGTTAAGCTGAGTACTCCGATGACGTTAAACATGTTACTTGATTTGACTGACAGAAGCAATCAGAAAACGAAAGCAGTGGAGACAAGAACAGCATCATTTCTAAGGAAATCACAATGAATTCGACGGAAACCAAACAGGATCAAAGTGAACCCCTATGATAAATCTTACCGATGATATTTATTTTTCTTTTCAAAAAAAAGGGAGGTGTTATGGCGGGCACTTAAAGAAGATTGACTATCTTCTAGAACTGTTTTTTCTGCTTAAGATTCATTATTTTTGGTTGTATACAAAGTAAGCATTTTATTCCTATTATTGTGACGTTGCTCTTATCCTATACTCTTGTTTGAGGCATTAACTGTTGTTATATCATTTCTCATTTATGAACTATAGTTAATTGACTGCTATGCGTTACCCCAGTTCACACTCACTATTACTGTTATTTTGTATTGATGTCAGTTTTCTAGTTGGTTTACGATGCAGTCTGATTTTGCATGTATATAAAGGCATGATTGAAATAAAAAACGATCTGATCTGATCTGTCTGTCTGACTCATAAGTCGTAGTGAATGAGAACACAGGTGGGGCAACCGAATTATATTTAACGAAAATTACAGAGTTACTCAGTAAAATCGGAAAACCATATCGTAAATCGTTCATTTGCAAAAGATCAGTTAATCCAATGGAACTGGACTGTTCCTGTTGCCAATCATCAATCCATTGTCACTATTCATGCGTTTGATACAAATTCCATTGTTTTCTAACTCTTCCTTTCTTGATCTTCCCCCCATATTATGCTACCAGACTTTACGTTGACACTCACGTTATATACTACTTATAAGTAGTTCGCACCACAGCACTACACTCGTCCCCCCTTTTAATAAGCTGTCGTCGTAGTCCTTCAAAACAGAGCCCCTGGTCAGTTAATATCACCTTCCGTATTCCGTGACACGCTAAAATATGCCGGATTACCACTTCAGTCATCGTTCTTGATCACTGGTCTGGAATGGATACGGCATCTACCCAACGTGTAGCGTTTACAAGTTCCCGATGCTGGAACACGGCGGCAGGCACACACTCGATAAATCGCGACGCGAAAGACTGTGCCCCGCCCACTCCTCACGGCGCAATCTGGTGAGCTCCACAGCAAGCACCAACAGGTCACCATCGGCCGACAGCCGCGCCAACCGGAACCTATGCGGCGCCTCCTCCCTGTCCGCTGGGCTGTCGAACTCCATTATCAGACGCCCGGTGACCGTCTCCCACGCCGTCTCCTCGGTGGCACCGTCCAGGCTGTCGTGTACCGCCTTCGCCTCACCTCCCCGCAGCGTCCCCAGCACCGCCAACTCCGCCCCAAGCCCCCACCAGCTACACCGTGGCCCCAAACTCCTCCAGGAAGCCCCGCCAATCTCCGTCCTGCAACTCCTTCGGCCACGGGAGCCCCTTCCTTCGAGCAGGCAGCGACACCAAATGTAGTGTCAAGGCAGCAGATATGATCGAGTACTTGTAAATACAAAATTTCTCAATAGAAAAATCTTGAAGATTGATCATTTTGGTTACTTTCCCACTAATTCTACGTTAAAGTATGTGAAAGACTTATTAGCTGTTTTTAATTGTTGATTATCAATCAATACAGTATACAATAATAATATTGGATACAATTTATTCTCAACTTTATAAGACGGAAGCTAAATCAAAATGTGTGTAACTTGATAGATTTGAAGTTTTAGGAACGGTACCATGCATAATATAGCTGTAATTCACCAACCACACATGTGAAAAGAAGTGGTTTAAAAATAAATCAGAATTATAAGAGCGATGTAGAATGCAGAACATAAAAATACTTACAAAAAGATGTATTAGAGACCAGGTTTAAGTATCAAAAAATAATTACAAACGACCTTAGCAATATTACAAGTGTTATCTAAGCAACCCATTTCATACACCGTGTATCTGAATGTATTTCATAACACTTCCTACTGCAGTATGGTAGACCGCAAACTATACAGTTATATAGACCTTTAAACCCACAGACATTACAAAACTTCCTCTTAGGTAGCCTAGTCGGAGGAGCAGCGGCGGTAAAATAACAGGCACCAGTAGTTCCACCTTTCGTTGCCTGATATTCTTCGTCCAGTAAAATTTCAAACGTCTTTCTACAACGTGAACGAATATTCGAAATGCGTCGCTTTTTCCGGCGCTTGTTGTTTGAAATATCTTCGTCCTAAAGCAAAATGTAGTAGACTGATTCTAAAGAACTATCCAAACCTCATCCCCAAATTGAGGTCTTTTGGTTCCTTTTACATCTGAATGGGGTTCTTCAATATGATTATCTTGTTCCAGCAAACTGAGAGTTTTTCTTTGTCTTCTTTCTTTTGCTGCGTCATCCAAAGGACGTTTGGCAGCCTCACGCAAAAGATCGCGTTTTTCCATATTATAAGATGTGCATCACTTTTTCGTAAGAATAGATGTCAAGAGAAATAAAGTGATTATAATTCTAAAATCACACTTAAGCTACAAAATAAAATGCGAATAGAAATTGATTATTGGAAAAAAGGTGCAAAAACTAGCAGATATCACGGAAAAATTTCGGTACTCTGAAACACGGTACGGACTAAACAGAGAGACATAAACGGGAAGCACATGGGACACATGACTCGGGAAACAAATATCTGTACGAAGGATCACCAACAAGTCATTGAGTTAAAGCTAATAATGGTACTTAGCGACCTAAACTTTATGAAGTTTGAAACTATGGCTCATAACTGTAAATAAAGATGCTTGAAGTTACGGGCGAATAAAAAGTTTATATTCAACGAATCCACTGTATTGCCTGAAAAAAAATTCAAAACGCACCAGTGATTTATAGAACATCTATGCTATCATTATACGGAACAAGAGTGACACAAGATGAAAGCGGTGTGTCGGTTAAATTGGTTTAAAAATCAGTCTAGGACACAAATATTGAAGGATTAAAAGTATGGTGCTGCATGGCAGATACAATTGTTTCTTGTGTCTATTGATATCAGAAACGTTTATTTTAAGTTTAACTTTCTAATTCTATTTTTCTATGTTCAGTATCTGGTAGTAATACTTTTCCTTTACAAGCTATTTAGTTGCAAATAACTTTTACTTCCAAAATCCAACTTTAATCACATTAATAAGGTCATTTTCTAGTCCATACGCTATGTATCCATTATGAACCATATTAAGTACTTTTGGACGCTTGATTTGTGGAAATAAAACAGAACATATGATACGTATGGGTTAAAGGAATATAGTAACGCATGAACTAGACGAAAATTGGAACAGTGAGTGATATTTCACACACAGAAACATAAAGAGGGAATCACGCACTATTCCCCTCAGTTAGACGAAAAAGATAATTCTTTAATTTTCCCTCTTTATTAACCCGCTATATTTTAAGTGATATTATCCTCCTTTCAGTTTGTTTGGGTGACTAATGTTATTTGAAAGCTAGGTAAATATACGCTATCAGAACAATCGGTACTGAAAAACAAAAGAGCCACTACTTTTTATCAATAAATCAACAGTCCTTTGAGAAAGCTTTCTTGAATTTCAATTACCTTAAGTGCAATAACTCGCTCGAGAACTGTAACACACTTTCCATACCAAGCGGGTTTTAAGTACAGTATCCAATAATCCAAAAACCTATGTAGTTTGATGCTTTCACCAGAAATGAGAGAAAAACAGACAGTTTTCGCTGAACCTTATCAACTTTTCAAGTTTTCAAGCATCAGGAATGATCACAATAAAAACAAGACTCAATCACATGTTTGCTCTGCAGTGTATTTTGTTAATGATTCCCTGTGAACTTTATATTCTGTTTTCCTTAGTTCTCTCATTTGGAAAGAAAGAAATGTGAGGACGTTACAGCAGAAAATTAGTTGCTAAGTAACTTAAAAACTAAGATCATTTTACCTTTAGTTCTTTATTGTGACAAGAAGAATGGGTTTGGATTATCAGTCTCTCAAAATATTGTATCCGTGGAATTTTAGCATTTCCATTGTCCAGTATCTTTATCCAGAATCTTCCTTACGAACTAGTATAAACCAACCGATTTCTTTGCACTCGATTCTTCTTCTTTCGGTACGGTTCTAGGTGTTTGGTAGTTGTGATCCTTCAAACACTCCTAGCAGCCTACTATCTTTTAGGCAAGCAGTGGTTATTTGTATTCACTCCTCGAGTTTAGGACGAGCGAAAAGTTTAAAATGTCCTGAAGTTTATGTAGATAAAGTTTTTAAGGATTTACTATAGCTCACCAAAAATTTCGTGGGCATCTCTACGTAGTTTGAATGGGTTTTCAGTTCTGATTTGACAGTCTCTCACAAGTCAGTTGGTTTTGACAACATTTGGCTCACTGCTGTTCACTTTGTTAACAAGTGAGCACCTCAATGCACTTGGAACCATTTAGTGGGCTGTCTCACGTTCACTCCCGGGCTCAACAGTATGGTGGCCCGTGAGCTGACTCTTTTATTCAAGAATATTTGAGTGTGCTATAAATTATATCTCTTACTCAGTTTCTGTATATCACGCCTAGGTGAACCCCGTTTGCGCGACAGCAGTAATTAGAAGCTATACACCGATTCAATTGAATGAGTTTATTTCAGACAACCGTTCATGCAGACACATGTGAATGATGAGCACACAAGCAGAGCCAAGAGAAGTGAAGAATGTGAGCGAGGCAACTCTTTGAAATGAAACATAACTAAGAATAAATCGTGAGACAAAATAAACTAGATGTGTCCAGCTCCAGCGTTTGGTTGGTTTGTGTTTAGCCAGGAGGCACTTTGTGTGCTGCGGGGTGCATGAGGAGCAGCGCGTGAGGTTATTTGGAATTGGAAAGAATAAGAGAACTGAGCTGATGACCCAGTAACCACATAGAATGAGCTTACTTCTCATTAAGAAAGTAATCAGCAGCAATCAGAAATAAAAAGAGCACGAGATCAAGACAAACTGAAACTGGAAACTGGATAGAGTTAGGAAAACTGATGACTCATGGAGACTAGTAGGATTATACACATATAGGAGGAATAATACTGGTCACCAAAATGTATTCTGAGTAAATTTTCGAGCTTTAACACTTGGAATTAACACACGCTATTTGTTGATGCCCAACTAGGAAACACTATCTACATAACTAACTCACCACCGATCCCAGTGTCACTTATATAACAACTTATTAAGAGTGACTTTGTTAAAAGCAGCACAGAAACTAATAAAGGTGTCATCTGGAAGTAGCTGTTGGTCCTTCAGAGCCAACCAACTTTTCGTGCTATTAATAATTGTGTGAGCCATGAGAAACTTGGTTTACAACTGTACTGCTTTCCAAAAACAAACAGGTTTTCTTCTGGACAGTTGAACTCTAGAATCTTAACAAGCATGCCTATTAGAAGTATAGTCAGTAGTCCTCAGGTTTGTGTCCGCTTATAGTTTTAAAGACAAGACTGGCTGAGTAATTTCTCCAGTTTTTTGGTAATCCACTTTGAGCTACAGATAAACTAAAATATGTGATTAAGATACGTAAGATATAGTTTGTAAGTTTTTTTTAGTAATCTAAGGTGTACTTAGTCGAAATACACACCTTTATTTAGCGGAATTTTTTATCCATTTGCTTTTCAAACGTTTAATTTGGATCCAGCTGGCACGTCATTGTTGGCGACGATATGGAAATCAGGAACCAAAACTTCATGATTAACTTTACTAGAAATGGGATGTAGTGAAGGTTTGGCATCATTCTGATGCTAAGTCAATTTGAGATCTTTCAATAGTCGTTTCTAGTCCGGATGGTACTTAATTGCTTCTCTCATATGTTGTAAGCAAGCATATTTAATAACCACGTCGACCAACTCGTTTTAAGAAAGATTTACAGCAACTTTTACCATAAACCTTTCCAGTCAGCGATAGATAAATTACAGTCTTCTACAATTACATATTGACCGTTAAAGGACCAGGATTTTGAGCTTGGGTAGTAGGAACTTACTTTCATCACATTACGGGCTGTAGTATATTAGACCATTTCGCCTATGCGGAGGGGGTTATTATTCCTTATTAATAAAGCCATTCCTCCTTCTTCAGACTTCAGAATCTCGCTATCTCTGACTGACACAATATTTTCGGGACCAAGTTCCTCACTTTCTATGGGGCTGAATTAGCTATATATCGATGATTGGGGTTACATCCTGCCTTACAGAATCTATTTATATAACTAGTTCCAATCGCTTAAGAAGCAAGCTCTGGACACTTGCATAACAGGGCCTAAAGCAAAAGTGACTTCGAGACTGTCATCCTTTGGAGCCTCACCACTAGGAAATTTGTTACTCTGACGTCGCTTTTGTCGGCAATAAATCGTTCTTAAGCTCTATATCACTTCCTGCTCTTTAATGAGTTCAGAGTGCGATACTTAACTCCCAGTTTGGGGAACTGAGAAAAATTGTGAAGTCCTGTAATTTGCAATTTTTCCTGCCAGAAATAGACCTAGTTTTTCTCATGGGTTTGCTAGGTCTTTCCTAATTGCTGCCAATAAAATCCTATCCTGTCTTCTAATTTCTTTGGATCACATTTCTGACAGAGCACTTTGCGATCAGTTCTTCTTCGTTCAACACACGTAAGATATCGCTGTCGGAGTTTCCGCGAGCAGGACCTGTGTATGTAATACATTCTAATTTATTAACTGCCAAACATGAATAACTGTGAGAACAGTGGTACGAATCCATTTATTCAACCACAACAAAAAGTTCAATATACCAGCATCGAAATAATGGGACCTCGTTAATTACAACTGCCCAGATAGTGACCAAGAGCCGCGGTTTGTTTCGTAAATGCACTGCTTCAAACAGTACAGAATCTAAAAGAAACCCATACAAGTATCTGTACCTTGTGCTCTCTTGGTAGTTACAAAATAATTCCGTGACCTAATTTTGAGGCTCTATATGTCACAGGCGTGCACTATTTTAAGATGTACGACAATCAACTGTCTGCCTTCATCCAATCGTCAAATGGTGGATGTGCATCACCCCTGTCATCAGTGTAATCCGATGTAAGTGGAATCTGTTGTTCTATATTCTTTCCTGAATATCTTGAATTTTTTACGGTTTCGCATGCTCACTTTCACCAAGGAATCGTTCAATCATACATATGCAGTGGAATAGTTCTACAAAGAAAACGCGATTGGTGAAAAGGAAACATTTATTATTGTACTCCTTTTGTTTAACTGTACTAAAAAAGCTTACTTACGCTCAACCTTCTGCCGTCATTCGTCACATGCTGCTCGTTATGTCACCCACTTCTTCCTTCGAATATATACTCTACCATGGATTTATTTGTATTTATTGTGACGGGCCAGTAATTAGAATTTAGTGGTGATCATAATCAGTGTCGAATCGATCACCACTAAACATCCGTACTTCTTG